GCCGGTACTCCTGTTTTGTAAAATTATGTTTAATTTTCAATCAAATCATTTACAGGCAAAGTGTGCCATACCTGCGATCATGGCTGATATAAGAAGGGAGGGCGCGCTGTTATGTCCGTTCACATCAGCGAAGTTTAGTTTCATGTGGGCGTACACCGGGAAATATATCGCTGAAAACGGTATGTCCCGAAGAAAACAAGCTTTTGAGCCCTATTTGTCACACAATTAAAAACAACAATATTGGTAAATGCAGTCATCTCTACAATTGAATAGACATTACTTTATAGAGTCCTCTAATTCCAAGTTCTCTGATTACACCCAAAGCACTGATTTTGGGACCACTGGTTATCTCACCGGCCACTTGCAGACGGATCTTAACTGGTATTCAATAAAAACTATTAACATATTGCCATAACTATGAACATAATTATTCTACTCAATCACACTAAAAGTTAACTCAATTCATACAAAATGAAATACATTACAATATTCTGTATTGATATATACAGTATATTTCAATTTCTACACTAAAAAACATTCACAAGTAATATTTGTAATGAATAGAAATGAACATGAATTTTGAATTGTGTTAACATCTACGGTAATATGGAAAAAAATAAACAAACAGATAATAACCGATTTCTAATGGATTTGTGAACATGACTTGTGAAGCACCGGCCTAATGGACAGCAAATAATAAACATTTAATTTAAGAGTTTGTTTATAGAAACACATGAGAACTAACACATCCGCCAGCAATGAGTTCTGAAGTCCGCGTGATTTCACCCTTTTCTGTGGTCAGTTTGTCTCTCACGAAGTCATTCATCGTTAGTTTGATAGCCTTTTCAGGACACACGCCCACCAATTGAGGCAATAGTCCGCGGTATAGACCAAACACGCCTTCGTGTCGAATCACTTTTTTGGCGCAATCTATGCTATTCTTGTACATCAATTCTCCGACATAAGAGCCCGCCCTTTGGTTCTGCATTCGGGTCTTCACCTGATTTCACAAATCATGAAAAACAAACACATCAAATGGCGAACACATCACACAAATTATAAGCAAATTCAATGCATTACCAGATCTATTGGATAGACTACTGTGGCACCGGCCGCACCAGCAATTGAGCCCAAAGTGAATCGATAAAGGCTTTCAAGAATTTGAGTGCCAAACCCCCGATCGGCAGGGCTTTCCACTGCTTTCACTTCAGCGATTGGTTTGGAGAGGTATCGGGTGGGCCGGTAGGGAGCGATGCGCTCTAAGTCTATATAACTAACTCTTCCGGTCCTCTGATGCAGAAAACCGGCCAAATGGAAGAGGATCTCAATCTCGAGAGGAGTCATTTGAGACATCTGTTGAGCCGCGTATAAGAACTCCTCTTTAGTCATCTCGAGCTGAAGATTGCCTTTAGTGAAGGACAGGTATATCCGTTTGACGAGTTCCATGTTATTGAGCAATGAGTTAAATGCCATGAAATAAGGAAACGTAACCAAATGGCCTCCCGTCCCACCGCCCGCCACTGCCACCAGATTTGGTTTCACGTATTCGGACAGCAAATGAATTTTACAGTTAAGCATAATATATGAGAAATCCATGGCAGAGATGACACCCTTCTTGGTCTTGTCGTAGATCTTAAAGGCCTGAACGGCGTGTTCTTCGTGGAAGTCATGCAACACTTGCGAGAACTCAGAGTAAGTGACGGTTCGTTTGCGGTCACCACCGAAGTGTAATCCCATGAAATCAGACTTGAAGTTAAAGGGGATCTTCTGCTGTAAAGTTGTCTGTTTGATGATCTCCTCGAACTCGTCGTGAGTTATAGACCCGGAACCGTTCGTATCGAACAACTGGAAGGCAGTCCTGTAGATAGCGTCCGGTTGGCACAGCACCGCCTCAAAGGCCTGGAACTCCATAAACGATATGAGACTGCAATCAAATCAATTCACTTGAGGATCACATCTTTTGCAGTACTACTCAAGACATACCCGTCTTTGGATGTGTCCAGAATACTGCCCAACATTTTGACAGTCTTTGGATTAGCGTTCTCTTCATTATAGAGCCCGAGATATGACTGTAGGAAGTCTTCGGGTGTCATAAACTGGTCCCCATTTCTTTCGACGGACGCGTATTTGTTGAATACATCCCGAAGTCGGTCTCCATTAGCTCTGCTGACACTGGAGTGAGACTGCAATCACATTCATGTCATTAATACAAACAAATGACAAACTATTCAACTCTTCACGAGTTTATCAATAATTCTTACATGAAATTCAATTCAAGAATTTTCACAATTTTAAATTATTTACCAGGGTAAGGTATATTTGTTTTAAATCATACTGTAAATCATTTAAAAACAAAAAGTGTGTTCAAAATAATCATAAGACATATCATACCTCAAACTGGCAGTGAGTTTGTCTTAACAGTAATGCAAACATTGAGGACTTGGAGGACATGGAAGTCATGCTTCACATAACCATTCATTCAATTTGTGACAATTTATACAAACTATAAGCGAATGGAAAATAAAATGAAAACCAAAATGAAAATCAAACAAAAAATTGATAATATTTGAGACAAACAGAGATAACATGAGATAACAAGTGATCACTCAATGAATCCAATGAATACAAGATTCTTGTGATTCTGATAATCACTAAATTTGAATAACTTTTTAATGGATATAAATATGGCTACAAAATGAATCCAAGACATTGTTGGGTGAGTGGAAGTGATAGTGTCATGTGGTGGTCAGCCATATGACAATTGGTGGTGAATAGTGGACACAAGAAGTGATTGAATCATACCTGGAGTGCGAGATCTGTCTGCATGTATGCGAAGGACAACTCGAGGTTATGGTTATGGATAGCAGTCGTTCACAAACTACACGCAAATACTATTGCATAACTGCCCCCCTATTACCCCCTATCACTCTATATCTCATATACTATTATATAATTACCCGGCTTAAACTATCACTTTTATTGACCTTCACCAGATTTACTAAACTATCATCATTTATTTATTCATTTTATCAAGCAACAATCTCACATATCATACACGTGATGTTGCATGTGCAATTATCATAGACTACAAGTACAGTATTAGAACTTATAAGTTATTTAGAACTTGTGCAAGTTCAATTGAACAAAATCAGTTGCAGTCCAAGTAGTTTATAAGTTATAAATTATAACCAATTGGCAATAAAAGCAAATAGTTTTATATAATGAGTGATAGTATAACTTGTATTACAGTATAGGATAGTTTGCGTACATCTATTCATTTGAGTGTTGGTGTGGATGTTGTGGTCAGTTATGAAGTGCATAGAAATATGTGAATGAAAGGGACAGTCATTTGCGGTCATGTTGTCCACAATGTAAGCCAATATACTTTGCATTCAATTGAGTCATAGACGCAGAGAGAGAGTGTCGTACGGATGCGTTGCACTCAATGGTCACTCGCTGTCCACCCATTTGTCCACCACTTGTGCCCTGTATTGGGACGTCATTGATGTGTTGACATGAACTCAATGGTTGACTGAAGTGTGCAGTGAATTGGCGCTCAAAACAGTGACTCTTTTGTGTGAATCGTATTGTCATTTGTCTGACCACTTGGTGTCCACAAGACATAGTCATCACTCACTCCGTCATCGATGGCCGGTATGTCATACTATAGAGAGAGAGAGACACTGATGTGGTAGTGGTGTATGAACTGATTGACTGATGCACTCATGACTCGATAGGTTCCTCATTAATGAAGAGTCGTTTCGAGAGTTTCATCTGCGATGCCAACGAATCCGTTGCCATTCAGTTGGTCTGCAGTGACAACGAGTTGGACAACGAGCCACACAATCACGCCATCAAAGAGTTTAATCCGGAGTTCAGTCATCAGCTGTTTGGTGACAATGAGTCGATCTTCGGGTACAGCGACTTAAGAGTGAAACTGTATTACTCTTCGGCGAAACTGAACTGCTTTTTAAGCATTGGTTTCACCGATAAAGTGACGAAAGACGAGACGAATGGCATCGAAGCGGACGATGTGGTGGACACTATCCGCCAGAAGTTGTCGCTTAAGTTGTGTTCATCGATGGATGAGTTCCGGTCTCTGCTGTCAAAAGAGTCTCAATTCATACCATACGGCAAACTGATGGACAGCTTCTCCATCGACTGGAAGACGGATGAGAAGCAAACGAAAAGGCATTTCGAGATATACAGCGCCGACATCTTAGTGCCCGGCTTTGACGCCTATCACCAGCGAATGCAGACCTTCTTGTGGTGGCTCATCGACGCCGCCTCTTATATCGACGCCGATGACGAGCGCTGGCAGTACTTCGTGGTGTACGAGAAGAGGTCGCCCAACGGTCTAAGCAATGGTCACTTGCACTCCGACGCCCACAATACCTACTGTTTCGTGGGTTACGCCACTGTTTATCGTTATTACGCTTATCCGCAGCGAATTCGTCCCCGGATTTCCCAGTTCTTGGTTTTGCCACCGTTTCAGAAGTGCGGACTCGGGACCAGACTTTTGCACACTATTTATGACTTCTATGTGACCGACACCGCGGTATTCGACATCACAGTCGAGGATCCGTCGGATAACTTCACGCGAGTCCGCGATTTCGTCGACTCCAAGAACTGCCAAAAACTGAACGCTTTTAGTGTCGATAAACTGAAACTCGGATGGAATGAAGACATGGCCACCGAAGCACAGACTCGACTCAAGATTAACAAACGACAGGCGCGTCGAGTCTATGAAATACTTCGGTTTCGTTGTACCGACAGATCCAATGCCGACGAATACAAAGCGTTTCGGTTAGGAGTGAAGCAACGACTCAATGCCCCGAATCAGAAGCAGATCCTCGACTACCAGAAGCTCGAGAAACTGAAGAAATTCCCGGAACAGGAACTGGCGTTCATTAGACAGACCACTATTCCTGCACTGGAAGTGAGACTCGATTTATTGGATAAACAGTACAAAGAGTTGGAAGAGGAATATCAACATATAGTCGAAAGACTGGCCGAAAGTTAAATAATGTTTTCATCGGATTTGTCTTTTTGTAAATGTCATCATTTTTTTATTACTTTATTATAGCTCTCATAGAGATATGTATTTAAATGAATAATTCTTGCATTTGGTGCAAAAATCTGTTAAAAATAACACAATTAAAAGCAAAGAACTATTATATTGTTTACCAGTTTTTTCTTTGTTTTCAAATCTAATTAAAATCATTTCACACTTTTATTCAATTTATTATTATTTATAATTCTTTTTTGAAATTTGTTTAGAAAATAGAGGAGAAAATTACAACAAAAGTCGAAATCAACTAAAAAAGATTAATAGCTTAGTATATGGTATACAAAGCTATTGATAATGAAAATAATTATACATTTGTATCTATATTATAAACAGATTCTGACTTTAAATGAATCGGTAATTGAATTGAATTTGTTTTAATAATTTATGAAAACTTTCACTTTTGGAATGACTGATAAAAACTAACAAAAAATGCTGTTTTAGTAAACAAACAAACAAATCAATAATGACTTCTAATTTTTATTCAATTTTAGACATTTGATAAGTCATTAAGTCCGAGAATTTCAAGTTAGCAGGCATAGTACTGTAATTATAATCATTTTATACGGTATACGTATTAACTATTAAGTGATCGGTTGGGGGATTAGTACATAATTAAACAGAAATCAAGTTAACTGTAAAAGGGGTTTCGTTTAAGCCTTTAATAAATAAAATCTGATTTAAGGTTAGCCTTGAATTTCTCGACTTAATTGTACTAAAAATAAAAGCAAACAAAATGAAAATATATTTACAAATTCTTACATACATTTGGTTTTTAGACAGGGATTCAGGAAATAGCGAACAATTCATTCATTACTCGACATTTGAATATAAAAGCGTACGATATCTGCAACACTATACCAATCACTAGCCCTTAACAATGCGTTTGGGTTCCCATTCGGGGTCCTCGTCATTGTCGCCCTCATCGTTATGCTCGACACCACTCTCCACAGCGTCCGAGTCGACAGGTGTAGGCGCTCTGCTGTTGTTGGCGGTGATGGTGCCCTCATTGGACTTCTCGGGATCATTGATCGAATCTAAGGTGTCATCCATCGGACACAAGGGTTGCACCACTTCTCTGGACATCAACTCAAAGTCTAAGTCATTCAATGGAAAAGTTCTTAACTCGAAAGGAGTCACAACTTCGAAGTTTTCGTCTATAGAGTCATCTCTTCGGGAAGAGAGCGAAGCATTTCTGCGCCGTTCGCTTATAGGAGGAGGAGTTTCGGCGATATTTGAGTCATTAATACAGTTGTTAACAACAGGTGTCGATGGGGTTGAAGCGCCGGTATAAGAGTCTTGACTCGTGGAGTCATTGTTTTGAAATACGGCATCACCTGCCGGTGCGTTTGTATCAGAGCGGGTGCTGTCGAATCGAACTCTGGCTCCCCGTCCCCGCATCGAACCGCCCTTATTGTTGCCTTTAATGAAAGACAAAATGCGTTTCCGTTCCTCTTCTTCACACTTAATATGTCGAGAAGTGAACCCCACGTCAGAGATGTCTTCGTCTTCGTCTTCGTTTGATATAGTCTTCTGAAGAACAGGTTTTATGTCTTCGATTGGTTGGGCTTTGATGTTGAGGTCAGAGAAGGAGAAGTTGTGGAGAGAGGTGTCAGTGTCGGTGAGTCTCCACTTAGGAGTAATGATCTCTTTATACTGGAGTTTCTCGACCCGAGTGGTGGCGGCAATGCTGTACGGAATCACTATATTATTGATGTCGAAGGCGTGCTGTTCACTACGTCTTCGCCGATGCAATGGAGCACTTAAAGAGTGGCCACAATTGCTTCCCTCCGATGGCACCGGAGAAGGAATGGGTGACTCTGTTCGGGAACTACCACTCGAGGCACGTTCTCGGGGTCGGCCTCTCTTACGCCACGCGCTATCACTGGAAGACCCGGAGCGGCGCACATACCGGCGCTTAGCACTGCCGTCGTACTTCTTCCGTAGCTCTATAATGACATTCAATTGAGTTATATTTGCATCACTGTATCAACAAAACAATTGTCATACTTGTGGAGGAAATCACAGATTGAGAGCGTTTGGGACTTTTGTTTTTGGAGGAGTCGTACAGCAATTTGTTTGATAGCGTTGGCGACGGTGGACTCCTTCGTCTGTAAAATAAGTTTAATATGAGTTCAAAATAATTCATTCAAACAAACGAATAATACTTTTTGTTTTGATGTCTTGAAGGTATGGGTCTCTGAATTGTTTCGCGTTTCAGTAATTCCGTAAAATGCAGCCCAAGAGACACATCTGTAGACAAATAAAGCAAACAAATTCAGTTATCATCGATTCACTGTATTTGCAATATTTTAATATCAATTATAATTCATTTTAATAAAAACACCAAATTTGTGGAAATAGTTTAGTCATATGTTTACTGCAAACTAATAGGTAATATAATAGTGACTTAATATTGAATGAATGCTTTTCATATAAAATTGATTCAGTGATTGCACATTACTGTAGCAAATATTGTAACTACAGTATTTTAACAGAGTACAGCACATAAAAATCATCATTGTCAATTGAAGCTAATGGGTCAATTAAAGTCAATATTATTTACTGTATTCACCTAGATTATAAACTAGCTGATTTATGCTTGGTTTGTCATTTGATTAGAGTATATAGCAATTAAAAGCTATTTGAAAAGTGTCATTAGAAACAGTGTCTCATTTAGAAATTCTTATCCATGAAATCGAGTTTCAAGATTACAAATAGATAGAGAATATTCATCAAAATTTATAAACTAAAAGATATCGACTATATTAAGACGTTACTCAACAATAATGTAGTAATAGAGGGAACAAATTACATCATCACTTCATTGCTAGACTAACAATAAGACAACAATTTTGTATTTATAGACAACTCGTGTAGGGCATAGTGTACAGCATTGTTAAGTACAGTACAGTACAGTATATACAGAATTAGATGACAATATCCTAATAGTATTGTAGCACTGAATCACATTCTATGCTCTATTCCACAGACAATTGATTGTAGTGTCGGTGCACTGCAAACATGCCATTTAAAATTCAATC